GCTTACAGGGGAGGTCAACTTGAGTTGCAAATTCAGTCTGGAAAATCAGTGAAATTTGTGACAAGTTTGAATTCATACCCAAGCTAAAATCTAAAACGAGTGAAGGGATTTTATCGCCATTTTATACTTGATATAATTCATGTTCTTCTATTTTGCCCTTCTCATGACTGAAGATAATTATGTTATTAAATCTCTTCTAATCTGAAAACTAAAATGCCACATGCAAAGCAGATAAAAAGTTTTCTAAGATTTATTCATTGTGGTTTTTCTGCTGAAATTGTGCATTCAATTACAAGATAAAACCTCCTCTATCACCATAGAGCTAACTATGTTAGCTATGCTATTTAACCCCAAATATCTCAGTGCAAATGAATTATAAAATTTCCCTGAAATATCCCCTCTTTATGGGAACTCACCGTATTATGTTGAACTTGCTTATGTGAGTCACCTGCTCCTGGAGGACCATTATCAGAGCATCTTGGCACAGAGTAAGTTCCTCCTCCAGCATGTCACCAAAATCCAGCACTATGGTGATGCACTGTTCCAAGATGACACCAAAAACCTGCCGGCTTTGGCTGGTAAGCCAGCCCATCCGCTGCTTGTAGGTCTCCACTGCTTGCATTAAATATTCCACAAACTGATGGATCAGTTCTGATTTAGCTGTCAACTTAATGAAAATAAAAATTTAAAAAAAAAAAAGAGTCAAAATCAAAATAAGCCATCTGAACAACAGTGCTGCCAGGAGCAATAGAGAGCATTTAGCCACAGATTCTGCTGTCAAGAACTGTGCATTAATAATAATTTTCAAAATGGTCCTCCAAAACCCAAATAACCCAGGGGAAAGTGTTCTAATCTTTCCTCTGAAAAACTCTTAGATAATTCTCTGCTGAAGGAAAGATGACAGTCTGACCTATTTAAAATACTATAAATAAATGTGTTTCCAGATAATGTTTTATTTTCATAGTTAGAGAATTATCTGTATTAGAAACTGCTTAGAAGCACTTTTAAGGAATTAGCAGAAAAAAAAAAAAAAGATGAGTAAAAGCAGATGGGAAAAAAAGTCACTCTCTCTAAAACGTTTTCCTAAGTATAACATGCCAAAAATATTTCTGAATATGCTTCCAAACATGCCCACACATCTGCCTGGTTTCCTCTAAGTGATGCTATCACAATGACTCATTCTCCTGCTCTCAGCCTTTGTCTCTCAGGTTCCCTACACCTGGACCACCTAATGGCCTATAGCTGCCACCAACACTTCTAGGGGCTGTCCCTGGAAGGTAACAGTGACTTCAGACAGTTTCGTGTATGTATAAATAAGCCATCACTCACACAGATCAGGCATAATTTTGCAAGGCCAGAATTTATTCTCAAAACTTACAAGGTGTTGGGAGGCAAAAAAAAATCACAGAGAAAGAATAAGAAAAAAGCTTGCCCTATTCTGTGACAAAACAGATTTTAAAAGATCTAGTTTCTTCTTTTTTTTTTTTTTT